TTGGATTTCTTCGATCGTCAAACCAACCCGGTCTTCCTCATGCGTTGGGGTTCTTCCGACCACTGGCCATCATCAAGTCTGTTCCTCTGTATTGCCCGCTGATGCAGCTACTCCCCTCTTTCACCAGGAAGAGCAGGTTGCGAGGAAGGGGATGAGGAGAGGGGGGGGGGGGGGGGGGGGGGGGGGGAGGGGGAGGGAATAGAGGGAACAGAGGTGCACTTGCAGGTTCATCTGGAGGAGGGAGCAGAGGCGTGCATGGGGGTTCATCCCGGGAGAAGGACAAAAGAAGGGGGGTTTGCTGCAGAAGGGATTTCGAAGTGGGAGTAGGGCTTAAGGGGCCATTTGTGTTCCTCCATCCTCCAGTTCTTCCATTGGAGCTGGGAGTCATGGAGGCCCGCCATGGCCCTCTTCTGGCCAAGCCAGGTGTCTGTAAACCCAGTCGTCAGTTCCTGCTCTTTGTTCAGTTTTTGTGTGACTGTGAGGATGGGGTCGTCTTTCATTTTCCGGATTTGGTTCCTGGTCTGATCCCATGCTGCTCTCAGCCTCCCGGCAAGATACTGTGACAAGTGCTCTTTTGCGTGAGGGGCAGTGAAGGTGTGCTGCTTTCTCTCGAAGGAGCAGCGCACCCTCCAAGCGAGCATCAAGAGTTCGATTCTCGTTATTTGAAATAGGTTGTGGTCATAAGGGGACCAATCTGTCCGGGGGGTAGACGAGCTTCCCAGGAGTAAAAGTCTCGGGTCCCATGGGAGTTGAGAGTCGGTAAGGACAGTCCAGGCCGCATCCCACCATCTCCAGATCTGGGTCACCATAGGGCAACCCAGTTGACAATGCTCCAACATGGCCCTGGAGGGTTGGGAGAACCAGTCACAGTAGCTGCAGATGGGTGAAAGGAGACCTTTCTGTTCCAGATCAGTCCGCGAAACGAGTGAATCCGGGGTGGGTAGACAGCAGTACATTATCTGCCATTGGAGGGCCCGGTGGGATGTCGGCATTATGTGCGAATACTGGGCCCATCTAAAGTCGGCAAGATCGTTCGGCGGCAGGATGGAGTCTTTTTCCCACCTTTTCCGCACCATCTTCCCTGTGGACTGCGTCTTATGTATCACCCTGTATCCCTGTTTAACCGAGTAATCCCATGTTTTTAGCGGCGGGGCAGCACCACTCAGGGGCCATTGCCATTCCGCCGGATCAAAGGGAAGAACTGAGATAGGGGAAGAGGGTCGAAACACGAAACAAGATTGGTCGGTCCCTTCTATCACCCGCACTCTGATCAGGCTCGTCCAGTTGTGGACAGTGTCCCGTTCCTGGTTTCTTTGGAGTGCGGAGTATGATGCTCCCGGGGAAGATATGTCGTATGCTTGCAACCGGGCTGTGAGAGCAGTCACCTCTGTTACCTTGCAAACCAGGCGCGGAGGGCTATTTTGGGCCCAGTGAACAACCCAATCACCTTTTTCAATCCAGGGCCCTGTTTTCAGGGGGGGGACCCATGCAAGAGGGATCGCTTCCCGGAGCTGTTCCAACTTTTGGTCCCTGTGTCTGACAAATCGCAGTTGGTCTTTCATTTGATCAATTGTCTTCCAAGTTCCCTGTTTGAAGTCCCAAATATCTCCAACCGTCTCACTATCTCATGCCAACGCAGGGGGGGGAATACGTTGAGGGCCCATCTCTCTCCAAATTTCACCATATCGGACCACAGTGGGTCATTAGTTATATCCCTTCTTATTTGGGCCTGCTCGAGAGGGAGGGCTGTTGACACATTCGGCCCAGGGATCAGCCATGCCGGGTTAGTTAACCATTGCAACGGGTGGATTGTCCTATCCATAGGGGAGGCGGGAGCAAGGCCGACAATCTGGATGTGAGCGTAAGGAGCCCACAGGACGTCATTCCCCATCAACAGGCGGGTGAGGATTTTGAAGGACAGCGCTTTTAGTTGATCTTGCGGTTCCAAGATCGCCAGACCACCCTTCGAGCGGGGTTGGGCTATGGTGTCTCACGCCACCCTGGATAGAAATGTGGGGTCCTCGTGATCATTTTTCCACACAAAGGTTGCTGCCGCCCTCCTGAGCCTCCGAAGCTGTTTGGGCGGGATAGGCCAGCATGCCGCTTTGTACCACACAACGGAGAAGATTGCAGTGTTGAGGGTCAGGGCTCTACCCACTATTGAGGTGTGCAGGCCCTTCCATCTGGCCATTCTCCTAAGGGCGTCCTCCACTAGGGAAGCCCCATGATCAGGTGGGGGGCCCAGAGCCGTAATCCGGACTCCCAGTATCCGTATGGCTTCCTGCCTTGGTTTCCATGCGATTGCCGGATCCGGGGGGGAGGCAAGGTTTTGGGGGTGGAGCCACCACCCCTCCGTTTTGGAACCCCAATTCACCACCATGTCGGATGTCATCGAGAATGTTTGTATAGTGGAAACGAGAGCCTGCAGAGAGGAATGACCGGCCTTGACCAGTACTGTGAGGTCATCAGCGAAGAGCGATGTGATGGGGATGCGAGCATATAGGATTTCAGGCACATCGATCTTCTCTATATTTAGGTTGGCTCTGATGGCCGCGGCAAGGGCCTCCATCATAATAACAAACAACAACGGGGCAATGGGGTTGCCTTGTCTGACTGAACGTTGGAGCGGGAAGGGGTTGGACAGATGGCCGTTCACCATGATGTTCGTTGTGGCCGTTCTGTGAAGGGTGTCCACCCATTTCCTAAAATTCGGACCGAAGTTCATCTTTTGCATGCACATATCCAGGAAGACCCAATCCACATGGTCGTAGGCTTTTTCTTTGCCTAGCGTACTTGATCGTCTCGTTCACGAGAAGGATGTTATCTTGTATAATCCTTTCAGGTATAAATCCGGATTGGTCAGGGTGAATGAGGTGTGTCATGTGGGGGAGCATGCGGTTGGTCAGTGCCTTTGCCACCATCTTGTAGGGGACCGACAAAAGGGTTATGGGTCTATAGTTTCTGATCTCATTTTTTGCGCCCTTCTTATAGAGGAGGGTAGTAACCCCTTGGTTTAGGAGGCCCCCAAACGTGCCATCAGATTGGACTGCGTTTATATAATCCAGAAGATTCGTTTGGAATGTGTCCCAAGAGGCAAGCCAGAACTCTTTAGGGAACGAGTCCAAACCCGGTGTTTTGTCGTCGTCCATTTGGTGGAGGGCAATATAGATCTCGTCTCGGCTCAGCGGCCGTTCAAGTGTAGCTCGATGTTCCGGCGAGAGGACCGATTCGAGGCTGTGGACGAGTTGTTGTCTTGCGCTGATGACACTGTCCGCAGGTCGCAGAGGTATCTTGGAGGTGAACAGCTCTTGGTAGTATTTTGCAGCGTAATCTGTCACTAAGTATGGGTTAGTGGCTTCCGGGTTGTCGTCACACAACGGGTGTTTAAGCGAAATTACGGCGGCTTGTCTCGCTCTGACCTTGGCTTTTTGGAAGAATGTTTTTGCCATGGTCCCTTCCGTGTGTGTACGCTTGATTTTAGCTTGGATTCTCCATGCCTCCGCCTGGGCTTCGAGATGTTCTTGTAGGCGGTCCCACGCTTGCTGCAAATTACTATAAACAGTATTATCCAAAGGGGCGGTGGAAAGCTTGTCGTCCCATTTTTCTAAAGTACTAAGAAGGTCTTCCACGACCGCTTTCCGCTCTCTCGCCCGTTTTATTGAAAACTTTTTCACTATTTCTCTTAGTTGGGCCACTCCATAGCTAAACCATTCCACCACTGATGACGCTTCATGTTTCTTGGACTGCCAGTATGCCCAGTACTCTTTCATACACTGTTGAAAAGTGTGCAGTTTGATCAGTGATGTGTTGAGTTTGAAGAAACTGGGCCCTCTGTCAAACGGACGGCGCAAGACGAGGGCGATGGCAGTCATCTTATGGTCAAAAGACCGCGAGGGGCTGAAGGGCAGTATGGCAGCCTCTATCAGTGGACCCGCCAATTCTTTAGATAGGAGTATGAGATCGATTCTCGAATTCGACAGGCCCTCACCTCCACGGGCTCTAATACATGTGAACGCTTGCTTGGTGGGGTGAATGGTTCTATATGAATCCACCAACTGGAGCTCTGCCATGAGCTGGTTGAACATCAGGGTGTCAAGTCCTTGATGTGGCAGCGAGTGGGCCGGCCTATCCGGTTGGGACTGGCTTCTTCTGTCAACCAAAGGGTCCGGCGTGAGGTTAAAATCTCCCGCCAGGATGAGAGGGGAGTCTGTAGGGAGCACCCGAAGGAGTTGTAGGAAGAAATCAGCTCTTTCTAGCGGCGTGTTAGGAGCATACACAGTCCCCAGGCATATCTCTTCATCCTCCCAGCGGACCCTAATAAGTAACCATCTACCATGGACCTCATCCTTCAAAACCTCGAAAGGTTTGAGTTTGGATGTGAGCGGGAGCCAGATCGCCACTCCAGTGGAGTGGTAGTGCTTAGAGTGAGCGTGGTAATCTTGGTATGGCCAGATCTGTCGCGCCTTCTCCATGTGTGTCGGATTGTCCAGCAAATGTGTTTCTTGCACACACACCGCATCGGGCCAGTAGGCGGGGTCATTTGACCGGATCATATCCCATATTGCCTGGGTTTTTGGTTGTGTTGCGGCCACCAGACCATTCACGTTGATCGATCGCACATCTAGATCTGCATTTTTGAGCGCTTTCTCCCATTGCAGTACCTTTCTCATGGGGGGCGGAGGTACAGGGGAAGGGGGTTGCGGAACCGGGTGTAGCGGGCAAAGTGGTGGATGTGGGGGAGAGGGAGAGGGAGGGAGGGCAGGAGTCGGGGGGATGGGAGGGGGGAGAGACCCAGCAATCGGATAAGGAGAGGCAGAGCGCAACATCAAAGTAGGCATATTTTGGGGCGTAACCATAGGATGTGCAATGCAGCCGGGCGGATTCGAAGATTGTCAGTTTGTGGTTTATTCATGCGGCAGCGTCGTGGCACGGGGCGCTGTAAGCCATCCTTGGGAGAGGATGAGCCCGAGAATGTGTCTCATGTGGTACGACAGCCACACCTGACTGGTCCGGAGCCTTGTAACGGACAGTTGCCAGAGCTCTTCTTCGGTGAACCATTCCGTTGTTTTATGAAGAGCCCTGTATCTGTTAGCCTGTTCTTTGGCGAGGGACAACAACACAGTGTGAATCTAAGGTGGGAAGGGGAGACCTTGGGGGGTTGACAGGCATGAGAGCAACTCATCCTCTGGCATTTCCCAGGTTATGTGCAGTTGGGCTGCTATCTATGCTAGGTCCGGTTTGCCTTTCCATCCCATCAATGCCACCCCCGAGGGTAGTTTGTGGTATTGGGGTTCTGTTTTAAGAAGCCCGATGGCAAGTTGTTCATCGGAGCTGTTTGTAATTGTCATCATCAGCAGAACATTTTCCCTAAGGTTTGATAAATTCCAGTGTTCTTGTCTCCCCACCCAGTCCCTCATCCTCCCTCTTGTTGACATTTTGGGGTGTGTTTGCCGCTGTCTGTTCTGGCCGTCCTGCCGCTGTTTGTCCTGGCCCTCAGGATTAGACTGTGGTTCGTCTTTCCCGCCCTCTTCCCCACTGTCATCTTCCTCCGAAGAGGAGAGGAGGTCAATTGGCTGGAACCTGTTCGGGGTCGGCCGTCGGCTGCGAGGCTCGTCCGTGTCGTGCTGGTCGCTTTGCAAAGAAGGCGAGATATCCAGTTTCGCGAGGAGGTGCTTCGGGGGATAATGAAGGTCGTTTGCCTTATAATCCAGTTTGAAGACGATGCAGTCTTCGTGCGGTGATTGGTGGGCCGGGGTGTGTTCCACAGTTGACTGGCTAGCCGGTTGTATCTTGAAGAGGCTGCTTCTAATGACTTTGTCAACGCCTTTCGTGAGAACGGTCAGGTATGACCAATCTATGTCAGCACAAGACTGAAATGCGTCGACCGTTTCCAACATCGGAGGGCACTCAACAATCATTTCCGCTATGACTTCCCAGTAGTGGGGAGGCAGGGATTCGGCAACCTGCAGATCAGTGGTCTCCAAGTATTCGTGTAGAGCCCAGTTAGCGATTGCTCTGAGCCTTTTTTGAACAATTTTTTTTTGTGACCAATTTTTTTCCTGTTGGCATTCCCGTGGGGGGCGTGGTCGTGTTGTTGTTGGTCGTTAGGAGGTGCCTGCTGCGGTCCCTGTGGGGGGGGCAGTGGTCCAGGTAGGGGTTCCACGATGATATCCATCGGAGCAGGAGTTTGGTGGAGCGGTGCCGGCTGGAGCTGTGGGAGCCCCTCGTTTTGGTGTTGGGCTCCCTGCTGTGGTACATTCTGATGTGTCTGGTGGGGGTGCATCCAGGTACAGCTGTTTCTGACCTGAGCCTGCCACATTGCGAATCCAGGGAGGTATAGTTGCTGGGCGATCGACACTGTCTCGGAAAGTACAGAGCCTTGCGGGAATATCCCCAAAGTTTGTTGGAGTTGCACCGCCCAGTGGAGGACAGGGCCCTGGGCTCCAAATTCAGCAGGAGCTGACGGGAGTGATGGTAGTTGGGCAGAAGTGCCCATTTGATGGGACCCAGGGTGTATGTCCTCAGTAGTTAGGGGGAGTTGTTCGACCTGCATTCCCTGTTCGAGATGGCCTATATCATCCGGGATGCAGGGCATTTTCTCGACTTCCATTTCATGGGCGGGGATCTCCCCATCTGTGCAGCTGTCTGCAGGAAGGGGTGGAGGGGCCACGGACTCCATTTCTATTTCCGGTCCCGAGGTCATAGAAACTTGTGCCCCGTCATCTCTAGTGTTGCCTTCTGCAGCCTCGGGTTGCGCTTCTCCCATGCGCGGCTCTGTTTCATTGATAAGTGGTGGAGGGAGACAGGTTTGAAGGGTCACCCCATCCTCCAGCAGTGGCAGTTCTTGTTTGTCCCCCAAGGACTCCGTTGAACCACAATCTTGGTATGGATTTTCCCATTCGATCAGGCCCGAGTTCCTTTGTGGTTCGACCTCCGGTACCGGGAGTTGAAGAAATTTCTTCTCTCCCGTAACCTCTGAGATAATCTCTTTAACTTTGCTATTGGTTGTTGGATCGGGCTGTGGGACAGGAGGAAGTGATTGCGGTTGTGGAAGATGTTGGGGTGCTGCCGTCGTTGTAGCTGGCAGGGCCATGACGATGGATTTCCGAGCATCGGTCGGCGGGTCTGAGCTATGTCCGGGTTGTGGGTCCTCCGGTCCCTGCATAATGGCTTTTATCTTTGTTGCAGCGTTCTCCATTCTACTGTACTTAGCCAGGGCCTTAACTAGGCCATTCACTTTGTCTTTGACCATTCCCAGTCCGGAGGGTTCCATGGGTTGTTGCTCAGCAGGGGGCGGTAACTGCAGTTGCTGTTGCTGTGGACTGCGCACGGCCCCGGGCGGGGCTGTAGGGCAGGTGGGCAGTAGCTTCCCTCCAGTCTTGTCCTGGAGAGGATCCCCCACGGCCCTGTCCTGCAGTTGCTGTTGCTGCGGACTGTGCTCAGACTCGGGCGGGGTTCCTGGCAACAGAAGCGGCGGCGGCCCCGGCTCCGGTGGCGGGAGGGGGCGGCCCTGGGCAGCCAGGCTTCGCAGGTGCTGTTGTTGTGGACTGAGTTCAGACTCGGGCGGGGTTCCTGGTCGGGCGGGCAGGAGCTTCCCTCCGCTCCTTTCCTGGAGAGCATCCTCCGCGGCCCTGTCCAGTGTGTCAGGGGAGAGCGTTTTAGTGCAGTCTGGCAACAGGGGCAGCGAAGGCCCCGAACCCAGTGGCGGAAGAGGGCGGCCCAGCGCAACCAGGTTACGCTCCTGTATCACGGCAGAGGAGCTCCCCCCTTTTATTTTGTTTTGAAGCTTCTTATCTGTGATCTGTGATCTGTGTCTCTTCCGACTTATAATCGAGATCTTGCACTGTGGCACTGACCCGTGTATTGGGGGGGAGCGGCGCAACCAGGTTATGCTCCCGTAGCCCAGCGGAGGAGCTCCCTCCTTTTATTTTGTTTTGGAGCTTCTTATCTGTGATCTGTGTCTCGTCCAACTTATGACAGAGATCTTGCACCGTGGCACTGACCCGTGTATTGGGGGGGAGCGGCACTGGGTAAGTCAACGGCGGTGGGAGCGGCTGCCCCGGGCCAGGCCCGGGAGGGGGGCCACCGACTTTGTCCTTAACTTGAAAGGTAGTGTCTTTGAGCTGTTGTGGTGTCGGGTTGCTGTCTTTTGAGGTCGAACGTATGGGGCATTCACCTGTGATCCTCCCCTTCCCATCATTGTTGTCGTTAGTGCCATCATGATTCTGAAGCCTTGGGGAGCGAGGTTTTGTGTCCATTCTCAACCCCGATTTTCTTCGCAACAGAGGGGTATCGTCATCAGATTCGAGTATTTCCCCCTCTTCAATTCGTGAGACACATGGTGGTTGTGGAACGGATGAAATGACCGATGCGACCGACCCCTGTTGGTGTAGCTTGTCCGGTATCAGGTTGATCTTGTTCCCAGCGAGCTGGTTCTGCTGGGACTGCAGGGGAGGTCGAGGGAGCGGTCTGGTAACTCCAGTGTGGGGCGGGGTCATTTTGTTTTGGCCCTGCTTCTCTCTGAATTGCAGTTTCCCATCGTTTTGCAGTCTCCCACCCCGTCTCCCCCTGTCCCAGTTGGCCCCGTCCTGTGTGTCCGGGGGTCGCCGGTCCTTTGTTGCTTCAGTAATCGGTATTTGAGGGGCAGGGTCGTCGGCCAGTGCGCGGGCAGCAGTGGGCAGTTTGCGGGCAGGGTTCGCCTGCTGCTGGCCTTCCTGCGGTTGTTCCAAGGGCTCCGTGAGCCCTTTTTCAAGGCAAACCTTCACCGGGGGGCGCACCGGCCCGCCCTTCTGATGCGGTGGAGGAAGGCCCCCCTCCCCCCCAGAATTGTGAGGTTGTTGTCTCAGGGGCCCAACCCCTTCGGGGGCCTTTCGTGGGGGAGCATCCTTCTCCCACTGCCACTGGCGGGTGGGTTTCCCATTCGCTGTTCGGAAGACCCATCCCTCCAGGTTGGGGTCTTCAGGCAACCATTTATCCGGCTCCGTCAAGTGTTGTGACACGAGGTTTTTCGGGAGCTTCCTATAGTTGATTGGACAGGTGTCATCCGTATACAGGTGACCCCTTGCTTTGCAGACATGGCACCAGGGGTCCTGTGGGTGGCTGAGGGGGATGACGAATTTCCTTCCTTTGGAGTGGTAGTGCCATTCTCCCCTGAGTGGAAATACCTCCGCCGGAGACCAGTCAATTGCGATGAGCAATGAGTCATCTCTCTTTGCCAGGAAGTGAGGAAGATCATTTATGAAACCTCGGATCGGTGCGATCTGTTCAATCATCTTGAGAATTTCTCCTTGTATGTGGACAGGCGCAAAGCTAAATTCAACCCAGTAATTGTTTGCCATAAGGTGTTGTCGCCTGTCCTCCGGTGTAAGCGATTTCGCGAGTTTCCAGCGGCGAATTGCAATCGGCAGTCCTCTGAATCGGGCGTCAGTTATGCGCAGTAGGTTGTTTTTGTCAATCGGATTGAGGGTGAGGACGGTCACCATATCTACCATCGGGGATTCGATAAGGAAATGGTCGGTCGTATCCTCATCCGACATCTTTCGGGATCGCAGAACGGCAAACACCCACTTGAGCCTGTCATTCAATTGCGATTTGAGCGCCTCATGGGGAAAGACAAATTGGATTGCATGTTCCGCATAGATCTGATTGCGGGCCGTGTTGGCTTGGGGGGAGATGATAGATAGCGGGTGCAGTACATTCCCCCGAACCTGGACTTTCCTTGTAGCTCTCCAATGGAGTTTTTGCACAAAATGAAATCTCAGCGGGTGCATCGTATCTAGTCCCATCTGCAGGTTGCAGTCGCCGGGATTTTCAGTTCTCAATGCGGCACTCAGAGAGGTGCCCCCTGGCTGCGACGGGATTCGGCTGTCATTTTCTATGGAATGTTGGCCCCCTACTACATCACTCCACATTTTTCTTGGGGGAGGTTGTTTGGATGTTTCCCCCTTTGACAGCACCCTGACCTCGTCAGCACCGTTGCCCTTTGTGTTGGGATCGGGTGCAGACGTGTCCGTCTTATCAGGCCCATTCAGAGAGGTGCCCCCTGGCTGCGCCGGGATTCGGCTGTCATTTTCCATGGAATGTCAGCCCCTCACTACATCACTCCGCATTTTTCCTGGGGGAGGTTGTTTGGATGTTTCCGTGGTGCGACATCGGCGCGGGTTACAACATGCCACGGGCTGACGTGTGGAAGAGACCCGACCTTCGGGGAGAAGGTTCCACGTTGGACCCTGTAGCGGCCGCGTTTCCGCCACATGGCATCCTGTGGCTACGGAAGAGGGGTCAAAGTGGGGAAAGCCTGTTGAAGCGCTAAAGTGTACGGAGCGCGATCTCGACCAGAAAACGAAATCGACCAAAATGCTAGGTCATCAAGCGCGATTGAGAGCGAGGAAGCGAGTCACCCACGGTGGCAAAGACCAAAGAAGTGAGTACTCCTACGAGCTACGAAACCATCAGAATTCGAGGGCGCGGGATTGTAGGAAAAGGCACCAACTACGACTGCGAGMGAAGAGGCGAGTTATCCGTGATGGAAAGGAAAAAGGAGTGAGTACACCGGGAGGGATCGCGCGCTACGAATCCATCGAAAATTGAGGACGGCGAAGGTARGAGCGGCGGTCCGCTMRAAAAGGAAAAATCGGTAGGGCGGGAGAGGGTGTTGCGRGGTAGATCGTGCAGCGGTCAAAGTGCCTATGGGAGAAAGAAAAGTGCTACGAGAGGAGAGCTGGTGAAGTGGGGAAGGCGAAGGAAGGTAGGAGCGGTTTGGAGAARGHGAGGCGCTAGGAAARGAGAATAGGTGAAGTGGGGAAGGCGAAGGAAGGGGGAGCKGGAGGGTGGTGAGAGGTAGAAGGTGCAGCGGTCGAACACCGACCGRTGAGCGCCTGCGGGGCGGTGCAAGGAGAAGAGGGATTGYGAAGAGGGGAAGAGACTGGAAAAAGGCCGAGGACAAAGTGTGTTGGATGGGTGAGTAGATTGCGAGGATAGAAGGTGCAGCGACCATACGCCAAGTGCCGAGTGCCTAGGGGAGAAAGTAAGGTGCAGCGACAGGAGGG